GGCAGGATAAATCTCCCCAGACTTACCCAATGGCTGTGAACATTCTAAACTAACACAAGTCTCATTAAGTGTCCAATTTAAAGGGTATTACACAGAAACATACTACAGGAACATGAATCAAATGTGTACTTTATTCATTTACAATAAATTCATAATGTACATATTTCTGATTGAAGCTAAGGGCATACAACTGTCTAACAAAGGTCTACTATTTATTTCAATTCACCTTATGATGAAAAGACTGCAACAACTTGAATATTTCATCATCATCATCGTCGCTGTCGTCATCCATGCCTTATCCCAACTATATTGGGTCGGCTGCATGAATCCCGTTTCACCAATCCGTTCTGTTTAAAGCCATATCCAACAGTTTGGACATTTGAGTTTTGAAATGTATTTATACATGTGAAGGTGTGCCTTTGAAGATTTTGTACTTTTTTCTAATTTTTATCATGGAGTTGTAAGGCATATCCAAAAATGACTTGAGAGAGCTTCCGATTCATGATCTTGTGTAATTTTCATATTGATAAAATAATAATAAATTTCTGTATATTTCTATTATATATGGTCAAAGTTGGTCCTCACTTAGATGTGACAGGTAGTGTTAATGATGGTTAAACCCTAATTGTTATGTTGATAAAAACAGGTAAATTGGGGGGGGGGGGACATGAGGTAGAAGTTAACACATTTTGCTGTCATAGTTTTTCAAACTTAACATATTAGTTTTCTTGTCCCAATACAATGTTAATATATAAATTTCCCTGCTGCACAGGGAACATTTTGAATCAAAATCCGGTTCTCGGTCCCAATCTCCGAGGTCTTCAAAGTCAAAATCTGTATCTCCTCCAAGGAAACAGAGTATCTGCATGGAACAAGAAGAATATTCACCAAAAGGTCGCAGCAGATACAGAAATCATAGACATTCCACTTATTACTACCATCATGACAGGGACTATCCTAGATCATATTACAGAAGGGGTTCAGACCGTTCACGTGGAGGAAGAGATTACTTATATTACCACAGGAGTAGAAGCAGGAACAGGAGAAGGTCTATGTCTATATTACGCTCTATAAGGCGCCGCCATGATGACTCCTCTTCTCCTAGGCGGAGGCATATTAGATCTCCATCCCCCAGGTCTGGACGAAAGATGTCTTCAAGAGTTTCAAGCAGGCATGGTATTTCTAGAAGTCCCATTAAGAGCAGTAGCACCAGCCTGAGTCCTCAGGGTGCAAGGGTTACCAGTCTAAGAAGGCCAACAGCCAGCATAAGTTTGTCATTTTCAGGAAACAGTCCAAGTCATGACACCACTAGTCCTTTGGCAAATCACAGTAGGGGTGATCGTGATGCTAGCGACAGTGAAACTAATAGTGCACCTAAACCAGATTTGAAGCAGCAGAAAAAGGAATGTACACCTTTGAATGTTCAGTTAACAAGGAATGAATGTTCTAATTCTTCATCAAGATCAAGGTCCATTTCCACTAACAATTCTGGTGAAAGAAACGTTATAGAACCCAGATTTAAGAAAGCTATCTCTGGTAAGTATGCCTCTGTCAATGAGAATGATTTACATTCATCCAGATCTGATGGAGAGTCAGTTCAAAGAGCCTCTGGTGCCACTGATGAACGAGATTTAGCAGATTCTGCTCAACCAAGGTCTAATCATAATACAGTATATCCAACTAGTAAGTTGGATCACAACTTGTGCAAAGAAGATAGAATTGTTAGCAGCAGATTTGATGATGGCAGTACTCAAAGCAATGAAATAAAGCAGCACGATTTGATGAAAGGGGTACATGAGAAGGGACATATGGAGCTTTTTTGTGTAAACAGGCCTTCTCCATCTCCAGAATATTCTCCTCTTTATCATCAGGACAAGAAGCGATACTCTGTCAAGGAAAAAGAAAATGATGCTTCTGGAAACCGTGTGGAAGAAAAGAAAGATGACAGGAAAAAGTTTAAACATGATCAGGGAACTTATTCAGATCATGCAACATTTGTGGAGAATGATGAAAATGATAACAACAATCCCAAAAGACAAGGGGACCACTCCAGCCATGATGTAGACTTATTTGAATACCCGGATAATCCTGGTGAATGTGCTATTTTTCCTTTACCAGAAGATGATAAAAATGTGGATGATAGGTTCCAGCATTGCAAGAGGCTTGGGGAGCTTAGTCAAGAGCAAGAATATGATATAAAATCCCATACACTAGCATCTGGTAATGTAGTCACCAAGCATGTTTTAAGGAGTCCAGATGCAAGCCGACATCCCAAAGGATCTAAACAGCAATCAAGGTCCAGGGAGAGAAGAAATCATGGCAAGCACCATAAAAGGCATCAGAACGATGAATCTGAAGAAGATGACTATGACAGAAAAGAAGAGCGAAACAAGTGGAAATTGAGAAAATGTGATAGGAAGGATCATAAGAGGCATCATAAAAGTCACAAAGAAAGGGCAAGGAGGAAAAGGAAGCATAGAAAAACATCTCCTAGCTCATCTGATGACTCTTCCTCATCTGACAATGATGAGTATACAAAAAAGAATTACAAGGCTCCTATCAAGAGATCCACTGATTCAATCAAAAAAAGGAGACAATCTCTATCTTCATCAACTAGTTCAAGCTTGTAGTGGTCAAAACTTCGAAGTTCTGAGTGATCTGAAATAGTTGGTTTAATTGTCTGGTGGGCATCAAGTACATCTTTTCTCCATCAAATTTTCAGTGTAAGTTTTACAATTTATCAATAAAATTGCCTGTTGAATAGTATACAAACTATTATTGCCAAAACTTGTTCCATTGCTCAGATTTTGCTGATAGATGTATCATCACGGTTTTCTATGGATGAGATAAGATGCCTCTTCTTTTTCTGGTTAGCTTATTGTAGGGGCCTTTACTTGGTGCAACTTGCAATTATAAAATGTTGGGCTAACAAGCATGATAAGTTGATAACACATGTTTGAGTCTTAGAGTAGCTATTTTGGCTAAAGCAAGCTAAAATTAGGTCTATATTGGATAGCTAAAATTATTTCTATTAGACTATTTATCCATGTGCTTGAATTTAAGTTTCAGATGCAATTTATACTTTGCTTTTAATCTTTTATAAATATCGGTTTGTTCATGAAACCGTTAGGTAGATAACATTTTCCAGAATTGGGAGGACAGTCTTCGGAAATTGTATGCCTCAAATTGGAAATATTTCCATAAGAACTCGTTATATTAATTTTTTATGTTTAGGGTTTTCAATGCCACAGTGGCCCAGTTGTTGAAGCCTTGAATCATTTCAGGATGATTTGTAGTTAAATGATGGTTACGTCATATTTTCGTATAGGTTTTTTTTTCCTATATGCATGTCTTTCTTTATCCTTTCCTTCAGGATAGTCACCCACCCCCTCCAACCCTCCTGCTTCTACCAAGGTCAATTGGTTTGTCGTTAAGCTACTGGACCATTTTGAACTTCCACTTGACTGGGCAACCGTGAGGGGCCTGATGGAAATGGCATTATTAAGATAAGGACGTGCTTCATTTCTGTTATTTAAGTGGACTAGTCTGTCTGCAAAGCTATGGTCTCTTTTTTCTTTTGTTACTGTTAAAACTAAACATATTTAATGTATTATGGGCTGCAGGGGTACTGTGCTATTTTTACTCTTTATTATTTGTTTAGTGTGTCACCCTACTATATAATAGAAAGCTGGTGCCGCCAGCCCAGATTTTTGTCTCTTCAATTTCTGTTTCTCTTCCTCTCTTCTCTTCTCTCTTCTCTCTTCTCTCTTCTCTCCTACTTTCTCTTCTTCTTTTCTATTTCCTCTTTATTTCTATCAAGAGAACAGTTACCATTTGGCACCAGATGCTTCAAAACTGTGCCTGGAATCAAGACAGTCCATCTGCTCTGTTATTTTTCCTTGGACGTTCAGGCTTTGCTTGAGTTGTTTCTCAAACATTCACCAACTAGTCGCTTATCATTGTGCACCGACATTTCTCAATTACTAGAAAATTATGTTGGTTTCTTGATTAATTGAGTGTTAATGATCTTTAAATTTGCTATACTATCTCTTCTCAGTTGGCAATCTTACTCTACCCCTTGATATTCCATGGTTTGTACTCCGCAGGGAGCTCAAGGAAGTTGATGAAGAGGATATGGCAATACGCTTCTCCAAGGGAGAAAACTACCCTTTCAAGCCAATTAAGTTGAAAGGAAGAAATCGTTCAAATTGCAGTTTTTACAATCTTTCTGTTCTCTTTTGGACTATGATTCGTTGTTGGCTTAGATATAGACTTGAGGGTGGAAGAACCATCTGTAAGAGAGGGCCTGCATAATGAAGTGCCTGGTCAAACTTCAAAGATTTGTTACAGCATTGTCATTCTGGAAGGTGAAGAAGCCCACAGCAACTGTCAAGCTACCAGCCTACCACCTGATATTATTGCAACATGTGTATCCCATATACATTTTGTTCGTAGTTAAATTCTTGATGAATGATAACGCTGACTATATATGGCTCATCTTTCTCTCAAATTCGATATTGGTCCTCCAACCATCCTCCAAGAAGAATCACCTGAAAAGTTTTAATACCACTCTTGTCAGCATATTTAGAGGACATAAGTATCCTCTATGCTTATTCAAGATAGTCATCCTCTTGGTTCAGTCTTCAGTTTATCTTTAACTTGACATTATAAAGATGGGCAGGCATAAACAGAGTATGCCCTTTGATTGCAAAGGCGCGTCTTTGTTGGTTGATTGCAGAACTTTAGTAATTAGTTTCATTTGGTACATATCATATACATGGAATACCTGCAACTGATGGGCTGATATAGGGTTCATTACCTCTAACAGCACCTTAGTTGGGAGGAACAGGATTTTCAAATTTCCTTATCTGTTGGACTTGGTGTTATGCCCATAAGGGAAGTGATCCTTGTCCCATGATATGAAAGACCCCTTTCTATGTGCAAAGATTAGATGGATGTCCCTCGTGTCTATCCCTCCTTTTGAAGATTTTTTGGAAAAAAAAAATACATGAGATTTGAGCTTGATCCATGGTGTGAAGATAGGCCACTTTCGATAATCTTTTCAAGTTTATTTGCCCTAGCAGCTAACTTGGATGAGGTGGTTGCCCATTTCGACGACCTTGGGGCCAGTAATGTTTGGAAGGCATCTCCAAGATTGGGAAATCACCCTAGTGGAGCTCTTATTCGTCCTTAAATGTCAACAGATGAGAGCCGATGCTGTTGACTGCAAGACATTTGAGCCTCCCTCCATCTTCTGTCCCGAGCGGTGTGGTTTAATCACCTCAAATGCCTTCCAAGGTGACTTTTTTGTCTTGGACTGGTTGGCACATTAGTGGTCCGAATAGAAAAGGCAAGGTTGCGTGGACTATGACCCCTGCTGCAATTTTTTGGTCTGTGTGGATCGAAAGCAACAGACAAATATTTGAAAACTCAATTACAGGTGGTGAAATCTTGAGGAATGCCATGGCTGTGACCCACTCATGTATTCCAGCACACCCCTTTATATATATATATATCCTTGAAGTTAATTGGGGGGATAAAAAATGTTGTTATGCTGCTAGAACGTGGTATCTCCTTTGCCCCAAGCTGCTAGAAGATTCTGTTGTATAACCTTATTGTTCGTATGATGCATTTGCAAAGTAACAGAACGCATCTCACGGCCACGGTCAAAGATGCTGCTCGTCACCTCAGCTTTGCAATTGGAGGCGTCGGCACCACCAGGCCTGAGGTAGATTTCGTGAACGCAGAATCCTGATCCTGATTAAACCCAGGATATGTAGTCCTGAAATAAAAAGGAGTGCCATCCAGAAGTCTAATTAGATATCTAATTTTTACCCTTCGCCAAAAATCCTTTTAAAATTTAACACTTCGTCAAATCAGTGCATTGTTTATAATATTTTACATGGTTTTCAATACCGTATTGGACCGGATGGTCCGACCAGAAAATCGAGAACCGATCACCTGATTGGTTTCGTTTTTCCCAAAAATCGGATTTCCCCCAAAACCGTAGATTTTAGTCAATAAATCGCTGAACTGGGCAATTAATCGTTTGAACGGTTTTGACTGTTTTTTATTTTTTATTTTTCTGTCAAAACGGGCCGAGCGTTCAGACCGTTCGACCCGGTAACCAGACCCCTGACTGGTTCGGTCATCGGGTCGGTTTTAAAAACTATGATATTTTAACTATATTTCTTCCATATAAATAAGAGTAAATTTCTTAAACTACTCTTATGGTTTAATTACTTGACTAACTTACCTTTACTATTTAAAAATTAATTAAGTACCTCCTTACTGTTTCCAACAATTGAATAAATATATCCTTAACCATTAAATATAGACGGAGGTCAAATTCCCATTTTACCCCTATGCGAAGTTATATTTGTATCCCTGATTTTAACTTAACTCAATCCCTCTCAACACTCGCCCTATCTAGAAGAGAAGATGCTGATGAATATATTATCGTCACTGGCATCAATCTACTTCTTCTTGGCTGGTGTCAAGATGGACACGAATTCGATCATAAGGCCGAGTGTGAAGGCATTGAAAATTGGCTTCTCATGCTTCCTGATTACTTTCGAAATCATGATGTTCGTCAACCTCAAAATGAAGAAACTCTTCTCGGAGCTACGCCCTGAACACTTTCTTTTCTCTATATTAATGTTGATATCCAGCACCCCTTGCCCAATCTGGCTTACACCATGAATGAGTTCAATCTCCTGACCTCTGAGTTGGGCAAGCTTGCCATGTCCAACACAATTGTGGGCGATGTGGTGGTGTATTATACATGGTAACTCTGCTGGTGGGGGTGCTCGTCCTAGTATTCCTCTGCGACATGGTGGGTGATGTAGGGTGATTTGGCCCGACCTAGTAATAGGGGGACACGTGAACACGACCTAACTGACAGGATGACAGCTCACTCCGATGCACCAAGTCTGCAATGGATCGAGCTCGGATAACCGAACCACCTCGGGACAAGTTCACCTCGAGGCACGATCGCATCATGACCACCTCGGTCCCAAGGCACTTCAGCATTCGTACTAGGACGGATCCAAAGGGCACTAGCTTGGGTAATATTGACCAACATCTGCATGACAACCCCAAAGATCTCGCCACCAGATTCCACGCCTTACGGGATCACGCCTCGTAATAAATAGCATTATCTCCCCCGTCCGATTCGGGCGGAAGTGATAAGTCTTACCATCTGGCAGCGTTATCCCAAGCTAACATGAAAACGGACCTCATCGTAACGAGGATCCCGAAACCACTCCGCAAAACCCGCGAGGACTCCACTATATAAAGGCTCCACCCCCCAGGGGTGAAAGGTACATGTAATCTTTGCTCACCAGCTCTCTTGCTTTCTAAGCTACTATCAGCTCGCAACCCATTACTCACTTAAGCATCGGAGCGACCTTGTTGGGTAAGCACCCCCGGGTTCTCTGATTCACTTTTTGCAGATCACTGAGCCCGTCGTCTACTGGGAGCCAGATCACCTCCATCTAGGAGCAACCGGATTGCGCAACATCATTTGGCACCGTCTATGGGAAATCGATACAAGAAGTCTATTTCCTCAAAAAGCATCCATGGCTTCCTCCAGTAACGCCGGACAGAATGTTGAAATGAACGTCCCCGGTTGGCAGCCTCAGATCCCGACTGTGTGCATCGGTCAGTTCACCATACCGCTCTCTATGGGTGGGATCCCAATGTTTACTGCGCCTCAAGGAACGACACCCGTGAACGCCCCACTTCCTCCTGTAGTGGGTGCGACATTTGCTGAACCAACTGTGGTTCCCCTGGAGTCGGACAGAATCAGCTCGACGACCTGGTACACTGCATGTGGGCTATTCAAGCCCAAATGCAACACTTCTAGCAGGTCCTGCATCACGTCTACCAGCAACAATATCAACAGCAGTTCCCACCGCTGCAGCAAAATCCACAACCAATTCCACCTCGGCATCCGGCGACACATCAGAACAAGTCTCGCCGTCAAAACAATCACCCTCCTCACCGGGGAGAGACCTCCCAGATCCAGAATCCTCTTGGGAGCTAGGTCTCGTCCCGCGGTAGGAGGGAAAGACAAGTCACTCCTCCTGCCTCGCAGCAAGTGAATAGGTCGGGAGACACTTAGCCCGCCAGAGCTGCCTCACCTCGGCCTTCGCAGCTTGAAGGTTCTCTTGCAAGAAACCGGTTCAGGGTGCTGGCCGTGGACTCTAGACAAGGCCCCTCTTTCCACAGCAGCCACCGTCGACAGTCCGAGCAGCTCCATGCCAGAACAGTACCTGACAACACAGAGGCTAGCAACACTAATGCGGAGCCAGTCAAGAAGCAGTAGAAGCGGCGTCGTAAGGCTCGTCGAACTACAGTTCAAAGCTAGACCGAACAGCCTAAAGGCAAAGAAGAGGCAAGCTCGGGAACCGCAAAGACCGCTCCCCTCCTCTCTATTCCATCTCCCTTGTCCTCCGAGCTCCTAGCTACACCGATGCCAAAGGACTTCAAGGTACCTCTGCTGGACAAGTATGACGGGTCATTCGACCCGAATGATCATGTGGATTCCTTCCAGTCCCAGATGCACCTAGCTGGGGCTGATGAATCTTGCATGTGCGTTGCCTTCTCCACAACCTTCAAAGGAGTGGTTCGCATGTGGTACAAGAACCTCGCACCCGAGATGATCAAGAGTTGGGCGCAGTTCGTGCAAATGTTCACCTCACACTTCATCACCACTAAAAAGTGTTTGAGGTCATAGGAAAGCCTCCTCAGCATAGTCCAAAGGGAATGAGAGTCGATTCGAAGCTACATCAAATGCTTCAACAACACGTGCTTGCAGATCCCCGACTTGGATTCTGCTGTGAGGCTCACGGCAGTGAAGAGAGGCATCACTCACAGAGAGTTTAAGTGGCATGTGGTAGCCAACAAGCCCAAGGACGTCACCGAGTTCCTCAAGCTCGTTGACCAGTTCATCGGGACAGAAGAAGAGATGAACCAAAAAAGTGAGAATCCGGCGGAGAAGAGAAAATGAGATAGCGACACCGCGACCAACGGGGACAATAAAAAAAGAAAGGACGAACCAACCAGGGGAGGGAACAAGCCAGATCAGCATTCCCGAACTCCTCCGGTTGAAAGGACGAACTACACGCCCCTCAATGAGAAGCGAGGAGAAATTCTCATGGCGATCAAGGACGCCTCGTATGTGAAGTGGCCACCTCAGTTAAGAGGAGATCCTAATATCAGAAATTCTCATGGCAATCAAAGGAGAGATGCTCATGAGTCCAGCATCAGGCAGAGTGAGCAGCCGCAGAGGCAGCTGCCCGAAGAGAGAGCGATCCACGGGGTAATCCACACTATTACTGGCAGGTCTATTGTCGCGGGCTGCACCTCGGCAGCGGCGAAGACTTCAGCTCATGAACTAGAAAGAGAAGAATGACTTCGAGGTGAAGCACGTCCTAGTTGATTCAGGCAATTTAGCAGACATCCTGTTCAAGGACGCGTTCGACAAGCTCCAGTTCCAAGAAAGCGACATCAAGCCCATGAACACTCCTCTGGTAGGCTTCAGTGGAGAAGAATTCAGGCCTCTGGAGCGAATTTCAGTACCTGTGGAGGTCGGCACGTGGCCTAGTATCGCAAGATTCGAGCATACTTTCCTAG